ATCAGAGACGCTGGATAGCAGACATGATGGCTGATAACTGCTGGATTTTGAAGATAGACACCCCTGCCGCTGATCATTCTAAGCGTTTGAATAAATGGAATTTCAAGCCCTGAATTTTGAACAATGATGAGGTAACATGCAATTTACATTTACTCACATTTCTAAATATATATACTATTCAATTTAAAACTAATCAATGTTTGTAACAATTAATAAATTGTGTTAGAAAACAACTTTTTTCTTTTTTTCAACTTATTTTGTATGAGAAATATAAACAAAATTCAGTTGATTTAATTGTAATCAATTTAGTCATAAGATCGGATTTTTAAAACTCAACATAGCACAAAAACATGACCTGATTGAGAGAAACGGATGTCATTTTCAGATTCAGGGGTGAAAAATTTGGAAAAATATAGACAACTTAAAACATGTTTTTTGTTGCTTAATGATCGAACATTTTAAAAAGTCATGCTGGTCATTTTTTTTAAAGATAATGTTTTTCTATTTATTTTACTATAAAAATGTATTGTTTGTTTTTCGTTAGGTTTTATTGGTTTATTTATCACCAGAAGAAACGTCAAACATTTTAATGCAGAATATCTGATGAAAGTTAAATAATATCAAGTTATTTATACTGATATATAAATTTAATAAATAAATAATTTACGTACATGTAAAGGATAATCAAAAATTGTTTTCCTTTGGATTTATTTATAAAAAATTGTTACATATTGATCATGTGTTGTAACCTAGGGAAGGTTTCTGAATAGAATAATCAAACGAAGGTTGGTAATGAACGATAATACTTAGGATACGAACAACACATATAAGATTCACCAGTGGCGTGTAGAAGAAGTAGCCAACTGCTAGAAGTGAGTCAAGTGAATTCCACAATAAATCTCCAACTCTAGAATATCTACCAACCGCCACACGCTGCCAGATGGGGCACAAGGCCGAATTTAATGTGGAATATCCGAGCCCGTAAGTTCGGTCAAACATTCCTTGTAGACCTCGTATAAAACGGGGTTGGGTAGCTGTTTCCCGAGACGAGACTCTACCCTTCGACATAGCCTCGTCTGGAGATCCTCTCTGTCCGCAAGCAGAGAATTTGACCAGCATAACTGGAGACGAATCTTCAACTGCAGGAAATCTACCAACCGCCCTACGCGGTAAGATGTGGCACATGCCCGAATTTAATGTGGAGTATCCGAGCCCGTAGCCTCGGCCCAAAATTACCTGTAGACCTCGTATAAAACGGGGTCGGGTAGCTGCTTCCCGAGAGGAGACTCCGCCTCTCGACATAGCCTCATCTGGGGATCCTCTCTGCCCGGAGGCAGAAAGCCCGACCAGCTCAGCTGGAGACGAATCTCCAACTGCAAACCAACATACAGTATTTACTACTGTTTTTATGTGAATGAGGACATATCCATTATCGTCCGTAGGTATGTTACAACATCATGTAAATACACCCTAAACATTTTACCAACATCAGTTGATTAATACCAATACTAATGTGAAATCATTGACTTGCCTCATAAAATCTGGCAACTCAAAAACAAATTATTGTCAATATTTTTAAAACAAGTACGGAATTTAGAAGCTGAAAATCACACGATAAATTCAGAAAATATACAAAAGCAACAACAATAAAAAATAAAAATAGTCGCTAGATGATATAAGATATTAAAAAGGTCACATTGAAAACCACACGTTAAACAGAGAGAAATGACGACATGTCATTACTGATACCACAGATAAAAAAAAAAAAAATTAACGCCTGCAATAAAATCTTTTAGAGCAGTTTTTTGATAGTCTTCCTAATCTCAGCAAATGTCATTCATTGTTTGGGCCAAGTTAGGATCAATATTCCTGACGACTGTTGCTATGGTAACTCCACCAGTGATCACGCCCACACCTTTACTTTCCGTCATAGATGAAGGCTTTTTTTTTTACTAACTAATAAAATAAACGTTTTTCTTTTGGTTTGGACTCTTCGTATAGTGTAGGGTGCGTTCGATGATTGCTGAATATCCAGAATTTAATGAAACGCTGCACTGATCTGCCAACAATTTGGTATGTTTAATATAAGAGAGTTTAAGGAACCAATTGTGTTGAATTTATAATCAAGGCAATTTCAATAATTTGCAAATAGTTTTGTGTCTACATCAGCAGATCTTTCGGAAAGGATATCTTTGCAATAAGCTTAAAAGTGATTCGACATGGTTGACAGTTAAAATATCATTGGATAACATTTACTGGATGTTAATTATGAGGTCTAAGCGCAAATATTCGACAATTTATGAATTCAAAGGTTGGAAGACGAAGTGCCATTTTTAGAATAACATGAATAAGCATTTTTTTGGTTCTTAATATCAGCCACTTTTTCAGTCGACTTCAGGGCTCAGAAGTTCTCCATGTTTGGGCTTTACTCCATTATGTGGAAATGTCGGCAGAGACTTTCATTTTAGACTAGTCTTTCTTCCCAACCGTATGCCCTAAAAAGCTATCCAGTCTTACTTTTTTACCCATATGGGAAAAATGGGAGTTACGTGTGTTTGCGCGTGTGAGAGGGAGAGATAGATATATAGAGAGATAGAGAGAGAGAGAAAGAGTCTGTGTAAGAGAGAGATGTATAGAGGGGGGGATTACATTAAAATTAGAATTAGCATTACAATTACCATTAGCATTACCAATAGAATTAGCATTAATATTACCATTAGCAATAGTATTACAACTAAAATTAGCATTAACATTACACTTACCATTACACTTGCCATTACCATTAGCATTATCACTATGATTAGCATTACTATTAGCATTACCGTTAGCATTACAATTAGCATAGCCATTACAATTAAAATTACCATTAGTATTACCATTAGCACTACAATTATCATTACGATTACCATTAGCATTACGATTACCATTAACATTACCATTTGCATTAAAATTAGCATTAGCATTACAATTACCATTAGCATTACCAATAGAATTAGCATCAGCATTAATATTACCATTAGCAATAGTATTACCACTAAAATTAGCATTAACATTACAATTACCATTACATTTGCCTTTACTATCAGCATTATCATTATGATTAGCATTACCATTAGCATTACCGTTAGCATTAGCATTACAATTCGCATAGCCATTACTATTAAAATTACCATTAACATTACCATTAGCACTACAATTATCATTACAATTACCATTACCATTACAATTAACATTAGCATTACCTTTACCATTAGTATTAGTATTACCATTGCCATTAACATTACAATTACCATTAGCATCAAAGCTAGAATTATCATTTGCATTACCATTACCATTAGCATTACCACTAAAATTAGCATTAGCATTACCGTTAACATTAGTATTAGCATTACAATTACCATTAGCATTAGTAATAGCATTAGCATTACAATTACCATTACCATTAGCATTACAATTATCATTAGCATTAATGTTACCATTACCATTACAGTTACCATTACCATTAGCATTAGCATTGGTTCCATCCACGCTGTGTTCACATCAATGTATGCCTTAATTTGTTGAAAGCCATTATTATTCCTTTACGTCCTTATTTCAAATGTTGATTAACTAGTTTATCCTTAGCGTTAAGAAATTGATTTAGAGAAGAGGACATTGATTGCGGAAAGCAGTTATACAAAATTATGTAAAGAATGGTACAAGAAGACGAATGGTACAAGAAGAAGAATGGTACAAGAAGAAATGAGTGAAGGAATAAAATTACATTTGCTATTAACAATGAAATAATTTCTCATTCGGAATTATTCCTTTGCAGATTAGAATATCGTCTTTTTAGTTTTCTAGACGGCAGAAGTCACGGCTATCATTGAATTTTTCTGATTTAATTAAAGAGAATGAAATATAAACACTTTATAACAGTAGAATTGGTGATTATGGCTGTTATCCTTTCAATTATTATTATTATTATTATTATTTTATTTCCTTTGATTTCTGGTTTGTACTCATTTCTTTCCGGGTCACAACCAGGGACCTAATGTCCCTAAATGGCATCATGACATTTTTCAATGAACAATTTAAAAAAAAATATCACACATATTTTACATAGATAAAGTCCTTCGTAACGTGTGGGCTGTACTCGTGAAAACAATTTTATTATTATTATTATTATTCAAGAAAATGTACCAGCTCTAATTGGTCCATCTCAGTGGTTCTCTAAAAGCCCAGATCTAAATGTTATGGTTTACTGTATCTGGAGTATACTCCTATCTCACTTGCAAAACCGTCGTCGTGACATCGTCAATATTGAATCATTGAAGTGGAACTTAACTGAAGCTTAGAATGAAATTCCTCTTGAAACTATCCGCAAAGCCTCCTGGTTACCACGCTTACAATTTTGTGTTGAATATTCAGGCAAACATTTCGAACATCTACGATGATTGTTCAGTTTGTACATGAATCATGATAGCTGAATAAATTTCTTTCTGAATTTACTACTTTTGTACTGGGCAACCTGTAGTCGTATGATTTTTATTAGCTTTAATATAAGCGGCAGTAATTGTGGTCAAACTTGGTAGCCTCGTATTCGCTGAGGCTGGTGATAACTTCCAACCGGTGCCAATAATCGGTATTCGAGTTCAGACAATAGAACCAGGCTTTGAAAGGGCGATTTTCCAAGCAGGCGGACCAGGCTTTGAAAGGGCGATTTTCCAAGCAGGCGGACCAGGCTTTGAAAGGGCGATTTTCCAAGCAGGCGGACCAGGCTTTGAAAGGGCGATTTTCCAAGCAGGCGGACCAGGTTTTGAAAGGGCGATTTTCCAAGCAGGCGGACCAGGCTTTGAAAGGGCGATTTTCCAAGCAGGCGGACCAGGCTTTGGTAGATTGACGCAACACAAATCTTGTTCGTATTTCAATTCATGGACTTTATAAATACCAAGAGGAACAACTTATGGCCGACGAAGATTTGCATAAGGTGATTTTCCTAATAAACCATTTGAAAGAGTCTATAAGGGAATTTGATAGGCATAGTCTTTTTTATTATTATTATTTTCAAGGAGGTGGAAAATAGGATTGAGTGAAGGAGGTGGGTGATAGAGAATATGATGAATAGAGAGAAATCTGGTATTGCAGTAAAAGTGGGAAAGGAAGAGTATTGTAGTAACTGGGGGAATGAGAGAGAGAGAGAGAGCGTGTGTATGTGTGTGTGAGGAAAGGAGAGAAAAATTGCTGCAAAATATGGGAGTTGAGAGAGAGAGAGAGAGAGAGAGAAAGAAAAAGAAAGAGAAAGAATAAAGAGAGAAATATAGTATTTCTCTGTCTTGGTGAACTTTAATAAGAGAGTTTGTAAGAGAGAAAAGAAAGAGAGAGATGGTATTGTAGAGTGAAATAGAGAGAGTGATAAATTGAGTGGTAAAAAGTATTACAGTGAAAGATGGACGTTGAGAGGGGTGGAGGGAGAAAAGGAGGAAAGTTAAAGAGAGAGAGAGAGAGAGAGAGAGAGAGAGAGAGAGAACGAGTGGGAAAGAAAAAGAAAAATAGTATTGTATTGAAAGAGTAATGTCGTCTGCGAGGGAGAGTGTGGAAAGGGAAGAATGCTTGTGTCGCAGTTAAAAAAAAATGACGAATGCCAGGAAAGGAGAAAATGTCGGAACCTTATTCTACAATAATTGCAAATAATGACGTTTTTATAATGGTCGACGATTTCCTTTTTACGGAAAATTACATGCCTTTGGAAACATCATAGTTAGAAAATGGATTGTTTTTACCGACATAGTTCATGGGCTGCTGCTACTGCTTCTTCTTCTTCTTCTTCTTCTTCATTTTTAATTATTCTATATTTTACTTTCATTAATTTCATCCTTTTTTTCTATTTTCCTTGATTCCTTTTGTATTTCCTCCTCCTCCTCCTCTTCATTATTATTATTATTATTATTATTATTTCTTTTGATTTGCTGCTTGATGCAATCATTTAACAAGTCTTCTTTCTGAGACCTAAAGTAAATGTAGATTTTTTTTTCGTAGGAAACTGTTGTGCATCCTTTCATTGAAAGAGTTGTTCCATGTGAACAGTTATCATTAATACAATCCTTTATATTTCGGATCAAGACAGATTTCCTGGGATTTTCTTAATGCCAGTAGCAATGTTCTTCTTAATTATTCCTAGTGCTCCTACAACTACTGGAATCATAGATATGTCTATACACCACATTATTGTAATTTCTATTTTCAAGTCCTTAGGTTTGGAGAATTTATCAAATTCTTTCATAGAAATATTTTTATCAGACGTTATGAGGTTGCAAACCAGTTTTGTGCATTTAGACAAGTTTACTTCTCACTTTTCCTATTAGAAAAATATTTCTTTCTGACTTTTTCTTTCATTGTTGAATCTTGCATCTCCTGTCCATCACTGAATCCAAAATGTTTGGATGCTTCTTTCTTATATAACTCGCGAATTACTGTTACATTATCAAGTTTTATAGCAATTATCTGTACAAAATGCTTTCTGTTAAACTGTTGCCTTAGTCGATCTGTCTCAGCTAACTTCCATGGTAATGTCGTCACTGAATTTCTTTGCTGTTTATAAAATATATTCCCGTTCCTTATAATTTCTTGCAAACAGTTTCAAATCCTCCATGTAGAACGATATATGATATATGATATGATATCCATAAACTGTCTCCCCATCAAGGGGTGCACTTATCCGATCTTGTGTCCAATGAGGTGCTCCGCCGGAGGACCGGACAGCCAAACAGCCTCCGGATCATCGCTCATCGCCCTGTTCGCTGAAACGACCTGATAACCACGCTACTACCAGAATCATCTACCAGTTCGTCTCGCCATCTGTAAACTGGAGACGACCCAGCGGCAGACCTTGGAGACATTGGAAGGACCTCGTCCAAGGTGACCTCCAGCAGATGGATCTGTCGCTGGAGGACGTTTCGACTTTCTGCCAAGACCGTGAGAGGTGGAGGGAGAAGGTGACATGAGAATTAGCAGCAGCAGCAGTAGCAGTAAGATAGACTGTCTTATTTAGTTCGTTTGAGAGAGGAATTAAAACGATCCAGAATTTATAAGGGTTAAAGACTTTGTTTGAAATATTGATCTCTAAGTAATGACAGCGAATTACTACAATGATAAAGGCTATTTGTTTCAAGAAAGTCAACCACTCATTCATTTAAAATTAATGCTAGAGTTTGTATGCTGTAGACAAACAGGTGATTGGTCGGCAATATTGGAATTGGTAGTGATATTTAGGAATTAAATAAGTCATAGCTTTGGGTTAAGCCTTTTCAGATTTATTCTGGGTTATCTCGTTAGAAAACTTATGAAACAAATGATATTTCGTTCATTTGTGAGAGGAATTAAGGCATTTTTATCATTTCAAGGAAATAAAACCACTACGACGCAGGGGATTTACTGAATGTTAGAGGTGAATAGGAGAAAAACTATTATTAAGAAGAGAGGACAATAAAAGTATTAAGAAGACATAAGATAACGATTGACATTGCATTTAAATTTTTGAAGATCAAACTTGGAATCAAGAAGCCAAGAGAGTGTTACATAAACGAATAGTGTGAGAGAAGAAACTGCTAGCATAGAACTTTCGGTTACATCTAGCCATTTTAACTAAAAATCGATGAGACCTTGCTGCCAATATGGTAATATGTTGAAATTCATAAAGTCTAGGTACCATAGAGTGAAAGTAATACTTATTTTGATCTAATGTAAAAATGTGGCACAAGGTCAAAAGGAGGGATAGGAGAAAGCTAGTCTTTAATCTGTCTTATCTTAAACTTAGCTAGCCACGGTTACTGACCCCCAAATACCACAGTATTTCTTATACCAAAATAACACTTTCTTACTTAATATTCTTACTATCTTACTATTCTTGGTATAACCACCATAATACTTGAAAGTCTCTGTGTAGTCTTAACTAGTTCCGATGTGTACAATTTGTGGAGACTTCATCAGTTACCATGAAAATACTTATAAAAAAGCCACAGGCCAGCTACATTATGACAGTGGGAAAGTGACTGAAGCCGAGATGCCAGGTCAGGACCATTAACATTTCAGAATCTTCGAATTTTATCAAGAATCTTTAAATATATAGCAAGATCACCGCACCAGATGTATAGCAGCAATATTCAAAGCATGGACGAATGCTGGGCTTATAAATCTGTAAGATAGATTCAGAAGCATAAAAGTTAACGAGTTTCCTTCAAATATTACACTCTTTGTAAGTTATCCCATCAAATTACTTCATGGAGAATGTTATTTCTTTTCAAGCAATTGATACATTCGTTTACTTAAGTTGCTGCGAATGTTTTGTATATTGCAGACAGGCAATGGCGTTAGTCGCTAATACTGGAATACATAGTGTCATTTAGGGATGAAATAAATAATGCTTTGGGTTTTAAAATAGAATGCAAATTGTCTGTGCAGAAATAGAAATACATTTAACCGAATGTTGGGTAACCTTATCTATTCTTGGATATTTTCATTTCCTTGTTTATGGATTTGGAATTTTATTTAACGTCGATGTTTCTTCCATTTCGCTTCACTTAGTCTTCTTCTATTCGGGGGTGGGGGGTTAAATATTGTTATCATTATTTTTATTTCCTCTTATCTTTTTTTTAATCGAGTTCACCCTAAGCAAGGCAATAAAGCCACTGAGACACAAAGGGTTACTAAGTGTGGAAGAATTAGAAACACAAACATTGCTAAACAGAGAGAATAAAGGACGAATAATCAGGAGGACAGCAGATAACTATTGGCATTGTATTTACATTTTGCAGATTAAAGTTGGTCAGAAAGAAGCCGGAAGGATGTTCCACAAGCAAAAAGTGCGATAGAAGAAACTGTTAGCATAGAACTTGAGGTTAAATCCAGACAGCTCAATTGAAAACTTGTGAGACCTCGTCGTCAGTCTAGAACTCTACTTAAATTCGAAGAGTCTAGATCCCAAAGCGAAGAGCGATATTTATTTTATAATAAAATACAAATATGTAGCTGAAGGCCAAAAGGAGGGGTGGAGAAAGGCTGGTCTTATAATTAAACTTATCTAATCATAATCACTGACCCACACATAGCACAAAATTTCTTACTCCAAAACAACACCTTTTTTCATACCATTCTTATTACATCCAGCATAATACATCAGAATCTCTATTAAGTCCTAATTAGTTTTCTTCTAGACAATTTTTATCTGTGGAAAGAGGGGAATAAAACAACAATTTTCAATCTAAACTGCAATGTGTACACAAGTGTTTATTCGAACAATTAAAATGAAAATATTTGTAGAAAAGGCAAAGGGAGGCAATGTTATGGCGGTGGGAAAGCCGAGGCGCCAGAACGGGGCCAATAATATTGCTGATTCTTCTTTGGATTTTATCAAAGAGCTCTAGATAGATATCAGGAGAACCAGACGATATATGGCAGCAATATTCTAAGCATGGATGAATGGTAGACTTTTAGATATGTAAGATAGACTCTAGAGTGAAAAAACGTCTTATTCCCAAACTCTCTCAATTCTTCATTTGTTGATGGTTACTTTCTATAGGCACCGCCGATTTTTCAATTTTACTATAAAAATATTCCTTGTTAGTTTTAAGAGTGTTGTTTTGTTTACATAATTTATTCTTTCTCATACCCGTCTCCTTTCTGCTTTTAAATGGATGCGCGTTATTTTAGGACATTTCCTTTACAGTTGCTTATTTCCTCTTTAATATTAAATTTATTTTTCATTTTTAAATTTCATACATTTTCACTTTTATTGCTTTTGTTATTTCGTCTAATAGTCAAAAGTTTAGCCTACAAAACTTCAATGACTTTTTCAATTTCTCTTCTCAATTTATGCTGACTTCCTGTTTTAGTTTTTGTTTGCCTGGATTTTGGTGTTGATGTTGTGGTGTCGACCGTCACCCAGTTTACCAAGGGCCGTGATAGCAGGTTGGGCTCGACAATATGTGACTGGTACTGTTTCTACAAATAATACGAATAGACAACGTCAGCGAATGGTTCCAGATAAGGTCCATTTCAACCAAAACCGACTAATAACTAAAAAAGAAGGATCATGCAAAGTTCGAGAAGATTAGAAATAAGATATGCGAGTTGGGGAGTAGTAATGGATAGTGGCTCGGATTGAAGAACCAGAGAGTCGAGTTCGAATTCCATTGTGATTACATTCTCTTACGTGCTAATGACCTTGGGAAAGGTATGAATCCTCCTCTTCTCCACCCCAGCTATGGATAAATGGTAAGAAGACTGGTGTCAACCGGTCTAGATAAGGAAGAACTCTAAATTCAAAACCGTCCTGGAGAGGGTTGGACTCCGTCAGGCTCTCTTGCCTAAGAAAGACCATTTTCACTCTGGCTGCAGTACACATTGTGCCCCTACGACCCTGATGGGTCACGGGATAAAAAAAAAATGCGAGCACAAAAGATTAGGTTAATGGCTACGGCTTACATGTGTAGAAAATCTCTTTTAATAACTTAAGTAAAGATTTCATTTACCTTAGTTTTCAAGTGAAGGACTTAATTGCGTCGAACAGAAAATCGCAAGGAAGAACAGCAACAACAACAATAGTAAGAAAAAAACCCTATAAAGTATCCGATTGGCTGAGCAAGTCACGTGATATCTTGTATCCACAAATCTTTTAAAACTTTAGAGTCGACATCATTGTTCTTTATATTCATTTTCCGTTTCCCTGCCGGGTAATCTCCAAATACGCACGCTTCCCTAATAATTAGGAGTATCTCATTTTCTGAGAATT